GAAATTTAATTGCATACCATATTGGTCAGAGGAACTACTTTGTATGATTTCAGAGTTTATAATTTATCATCTGTATTCCCACCCATGCAAATCCAAACACTGAAATCTCCTCTGTGTTGATTGTGTTGATTCTAGGTGGTGGTTTCATTGTTAAGTGCCATCGAGTTGGAACTGACTTATAGCTGACCTTCCACTGGGTTTTCAGGGCTGTAAATGCCATAGAAGGAGCTTACCTGTCTTTCTCCTTTGGTGGATTTGAACCTACCAAAGTTGCCTTTTGCAACTTTTTTTTTTTCTATTGTGTGTTTGCTTTCTTTTTTTTCAATTTTTAAAATTTTATTTTAATAATTTTTTTAATAATTTTCATGAACATTTACAGAGATTTTGGATTTCCATTCATTCATTGCAACTTCTTAACCACTAGGCTACCAGATTAACTGTCACGATTTGGAGGAAAAGATTTTTTTTTTAAATCATGAGTTGTAATTGACTCAACAGCGCGTAACAACAACCCCAGTTGAGCTATTTTAAAGTTTGCAATACATAAAAATTCACATGATGTGTAAAAAATAATGTAGAGAAACCCCTTTACAGTCCACTCAGTTTCATAGCTTCCTCAGTAACCTCTTGAAAATCTGCAGAACAGTATGGCAACCAGGATGTAGACTGGTGTCCTAATAGAAAGGAGCTGAACTGCCAACCTGAAGACAGGTGGTTCGAATCTAACAGCTGCTCCTTGGGAGAAAGATGGACAGTCTCCTCCTAGGCAGTTTACAACCTCTGAAAACCACTGGACGGCCAGCTATGAGCTGGTTCCAACTCAAAGGCGCACAGTAACAACAACAGTGACTCAGCCAAGATGCAGAGCTTTTCCTTCATGGCGAGGATTCTTCCTGCTGCCCTTTTACAGTCTTCTCTCATTTCAGCCCATGCTTTTCATAACCAGCAACCCACTCTCCATTTCCATCCTCATTTTGAAAATGTTATAGTAATGGACTCATCCAGTATGTTCCCTTTTGGAGATTTTTAAAAACCTGAGTGTAATTCTCTGGGGATTCATTCAGATACTTTACATGTATATTACAATGATACTGATTATGACTAATCATATTGTGGCACCATTCTCACTGTCCATTTCCAGCCATTTCCAGATTATTCCATCACAGTTAACAGAAACTCATTGCTCCTGAGCTGTGACTCCCTTGCCCCCTTTCCTCCCACCCCTCATATCTACTAAGAAACCTATTATAGACATTTCATGTAACTGGAATTCTGCGGTATAACACAAACGTGGGCCTGTTAGGCATTTTAGAGTGTATCACTGAGTTGACTTTAGCAACAGCAGTTGTGTTCACCATCCTGCCACAATCATCTCTGTATTTCTCAAGTTTTTCATCATTCCCAACAGAAGAAGCTCAGTGTCCTTGAAGCAGTAACTCTCCACTCTTCCCTCTATTCTCCTCTCCCCCAGCTCTTGTTAACCAGTGATTAACTTTTATCTGTACACCTTTGCCAAGTCTAAACAGTTAGGTAGCTGGTGTATGATTAGGCAAGTTCACCACATAGAATGTAATATCAAGGAGTTGATTAATGAATTTGATTAAACTCTTGTATTTTATTGTTGTTGTTGTTATATGCTCTCAAGTTCGAACTGACCCACCGCTGACCCACCAGTGGGTTTTCAGAGGCAGTAAATCGCCTGGGAGGAGATTGCCCATCCTTCTCGTGTGGAGCAGCTGGTAGATTGGAACCATGCACCTTTGGAATTACAGTGCAGCCTCTTAACACCAGGCCACCAGAGGACTACAATGATTGGGTTCTGAAGAATGTGATTGCTCCCAGTGTCACAGCCTTCAAGTTTTATCTCTTGGTGACTCAGTTCATATTTGTTCTATTTTTTGAAATTGTATCACTGTAGAATTCTTGCTGTCATTTCTGTTGCTATATATAAAAACAAGAATGCCTTTTAAAAGCTTCATTTCTTATACATGCTTTCCCTGTAGAATTTTTAAAAAAAGATCAAAGGACAATTTATATCAATATTTAAAATGTAATTCATATCTAAGACTCAGGCATGGGAATTTAGGGTGTTATTTTTTTAATTAACTATATTAATGCTTCAAGAGAGGAATGACTATGGGAAGTGCTTTATAAATAACCATTGGGTAGTAAGATATTAGATTATTGAGCGGAAAAAAGATGATGATGATTATTTTTTTTAACCCCTGGAAATGCTTTACATGGCTGTTTGCTGAAAGGACAGGGGCTGACCTCTGTGGTTTGGGCTTGGTCATTTTTAGTATTCCCTCGGTGGTGGGTTCTGTCATTTTTTGTATTCCTTTGGTGGCCTCCAGACATAACACACACCAGGGAGGATGAAAGATTCTTCCCAAGAACATTCCATGGTTCTGATCTGGATTTTAAAATAGTTCTCAATGTAACAGAGAAAAGATTCCCCAAAAATAGTGTAATACATTTAGTTTAGAGCAATTCAGAGCAGCAGACCCAAAGGGAGGCAGACCTCTGAGTCAAAGAGTAGGGCTATAAATTGGGCAGGAGGATGACCATGGTTTTTGTTGGAAACAGCTCGGATTGTACACATCACCTTCTCTCTCTCAGGCAGTGGGTGTGAAAAGAGGATGGCTGGTTTTTCTTCCCCTATCCCAGCCAGTAGGAATGGCTAGCTTAAGGGTCTTTCTACGTAACCTGACCTTCCTTCCCTGGGAGCCGCAAAGCCTGTGCCACACTTTGGGAGTCCAGAGCTGATCCTTTCTTGTAAGACTGCATGAAGCCCTGGAACTTCAGCGCTCTGATTGACTGTACTTCCAGCTGGGGACCTGAGTTATGTACTGAAGGATGTCCAGGGGGCTGAGCAAGATGCCCCAGAGGATAGCAGGAGAGAGAGGTGACGAGTTCCTGAACCTGAGTACAAGTCCACATGCCCTCATTTACGTTGAAATGGTGCTTTACAGTCTACAGACCACTTTCCTATTTCATTCTTGCCACCAGCCTTGTGAACCAGGACAAAACAAAACAAAACAACCAGAACAACAACCTCAAAAATCATTACCATTAAGTTGGAACTGATCAGTTGCTGCCCCTCCACTGGTTTTCTGAGGCTGTAAATCACACTGGCGGAGAAGTTCAGCCTTCGAGTTAGTAGCTCACCTCCTTATGGACTGTGTCCCGAGAGTTCCTTTTACCCTTGCACAGCTGCACAAGGCAAATTTTATTACTTCTATATTATGGATTTATGGGAGAAAGATGGACGAACTCCTTCCATGCAATTACTGCCTCCGAACACCCACCGGAGGGTCAGCTATGGGTTGGTTCCAACTCGATGATACATAACAACAACAACATATTATAGATGAAGGAGCTCTGGTGGCCTGGTGGTAAGAAGCTGTGCTATAATCCTGAAGGCACATGGTTCTAATCCCATAAACTGCTCTGTGGGAGAAAGATGGGAAGTCTCTTCCTGTGCCATTAACTCCCTCTGAAAACCCACTAGAGGGTCAGCTATGGGTTGGTTCCGACTCAATGGTATGCAACAACAGCATCCTATAGATGAGACGACTAGAACTTCTTGATGAAAGAATGATGAGGGTTTATACCATGGGGGTATAGATGGTGCTTTGGTATCAGGACTAAGGACACTGTAGGGAACTTTGAGGGCATTGTTGTTGTTAAGTGCTGTCGAGCCGCAACACTTGGGTGCCTTTCATCCTCTCTCCAGGTTCACAGGGTTTCCAGAGGCAAGCTGTTACAGAAGTGGATGCCACTCCTCCTTCCAAGCTTGTTTTAATCAGGGAGCTCCACCCCACTCTCTGTCCACATTGGGTAACCAACCATTAACGCATTTGACACATCAGTGTTGCAGTGTTCAGCCTCACAGCAACCACAAGTTACCGCTGTATGGCAAATGGACACACCAGGGCTATACGACCTAGAGGAATGTCTGAACAAAAAATAATGAAATACAGGCCCGAGGGCTGCGGAATAGAAGTCACCCGCCTTTGGCTTGGTAGCATCGCTTTCTGTCCACTGGGCCAGCTGATCTCTATGTTGATGTTATTGTTGTTAAGTGCCGTCGAGTCGCAGGCAATTCATAGTCACCCTGTGAAGGAGAGTCCTCAGCACTTGGGCGTCTTTTATCCTCTCTCCAGGTTCATAGGGTTTCCGGAGGCAAGCTGTTACGGAAGTGGATCTTGAGGACATAGTCCTTAGTGAATTTCACAGTTACCCAAAGGCAGTGTCTCTCTGGTGGTTCAGATGTTCCAGGGACTCTGAGGGAGAAAGATGGGCGGTCTCCACCCCTGCAGATTACAGCTTTGGAAACCAGCTAGAGGGTCAGCTATGAGATGGTTCTGACTCCGCCACAATGACCTTGGCTTTTTGACTTTGAAAGAACACTCTGATTTTGCTGTGTGAATGGAATACATATGGCCTCTGCTGAGGAGACCTGGCTGAGTTTTTTGTGGCCACATTGTGGTTGGCATTTTTCCTTTTCTAAATTGTCTCTCAACATAGTATTGCTTAGGTAGTTGGAAAAGGAGCAAAGCATTCCTGTCCCATGGGGTGACGCCAAAAGGTAATTTAATTACTAAGGCTGTTTCGAAAACTAGCCCCCTATTGTCTTGAAACAGCAGCCAGCTCTGACTGTAAATATACCTCACAGTCTCAGCAGGCCTGTGACTGCTTTAAGGGCAGATTTTATTCATTGGGTTAATTTCTATCTATTGTTTGACTCTTTCCAATATTTGCTTGGAAAAACGGGCCCTGGTAACATCAGGCTGTGAACCAAAAGGTTGGCAGTTCACATCTAACAGCTGCTCTAAGGGAGAAAAATTGTGCAGCCCCCGCCCATCGGGGTTCAGTTGCTGAGTGGGAACTCGACTGCAGGGAAGGTGGTGGGGGCAGGGGTTTCTGGAGAGGTGACCTGGGGAAGTTTTTTCCTAACCTCTGACATGATCTGTTGGATTTCCAAACATTCTTTACAGCTTAGATCACCCTCAGCTTCCAGGCAGCCTCGTCATCGACAAAGAATCTGAAGTTTACAAGATGCTTCAGGAGAAACAAGAGTTAAATGAGCCTCCAAAACAGTCCACTTCATTCCTGGTTTTGCAAGAAATCCTGGAATCTGAGGAGAAAGGTAATCAGTCCTGTGTGTGTGGTCAGAGGTGCCTGTTCTTGGCCTGGGGTGAGGGCCAGTCACAGAGGAGACACAGGTGAGCGTATCCTGGGGCATGAGGAAAGAACACAAAAAAGGGGGATGGGGGGGCCGGGCTGGCACCTCTTCCTGCTGGACCTTCAAGCTCAGAACCTGGTTGACTGTTTCCTGTCACATGAACACGATGGGAATGTTGGAAAGTGTACTTGACTTTTGTGGGGTTCAGTTGTTCTGTCCTTTGGTCTTGTCAGGACTGTGAGGTAACCTTGAGAGGCTTGGCTGATGGGACATAGGGTAGAGGAATCCAGAGGTGGGTGATGGTCAAGCTTCCAACCCCACCTCAGAGCAGTTCAGTGACGCTGGGCCTCAGGCATTCTGTGGAAGTAGACTTAGTTTTTTCTCTTAACTGTTTCACACTTACTTAGAGTTGAGTTAGTTGTGGTTTCTCAAATGTTTTGACAAAGCTGTTCACCTCAGGTTTGGCCTTTACATCATTTGTTAGACTCTCTTATACTGTAACAGGGAGATAGCTTAGTGGAAAGGAACTGGGCTTCCCCCTCAAAAGGCACATGGTTCAAATCCACCAGCTTCTCTGTGAGAGAAAGATGGACAGTTTCCTCCTGTGTGATGAACTGCCTCTGAAAACCCACTGGACAGTCAGCTATGGGTCAGTTCCGACTTGATGGTACAACAACAATGCTGTTACAGTACAGAGTATGGTTTATGACTTCCTGTGTGGATTAAATGGTGTGTCCCTGCAAACTGTGTGATGGAATTCTAAATTCTTTACCTGTGTGTTTAGTATTTGTTGCCAGTACCACAATTCAAAGGCATCATTTATTCTTCATCCTTCCTTATTCATGGTCCAACTTTCACATGCCTGTGAAGTGATTGAGAGAAGACCCTCAACCAGATGGATTGACATAGTGAAGCAGCAGTGGGCTCAGGCATTTCAGAGATTGTGAGGATGGCACAGAATAGGACAGGGTTCAGATCTTCTTGTTCATAGGGTCACTATGAGTTGTACTCAACAACACCTAACAACAGTAATAACATGGGGTAATTTTAACATACCATAGTTTGGTATGTTATTGTACCTTGGTCCCTAAAGTGCTCTTTGGCACTTTATAGAGCTTCTTTGCATGAGCACGGGACTGGGAAGTATTTTATTCTGTGGTACACATTCTTCATAGGAGTCAGAGCTGTTTCAGTGACATCTGATAATGATGTCACTGTGGAGTAAGCTTTTCTGGAAATAGGATTTTCTTTGTTTCTTATATCTTACCAGAATGAGATGGCTTCTACATTGAATCGTTTCTGAGTTATTCAGAGAGCAGATCAGAAACATATATGCAAACACAGGGAGACGGATGCTATAGGAGAATGGTATCCACTTGGTGGAAATGCAACTTGGGTGCTTCTTGGTCTCACATACTTTGGGCCTACTGTCAGGAGGGGCCAGTCTTTGGAAAATTAGAAGGTCAGAGAAAGAGAGTGTAAGACCCTTAACAAGATGGATTGACACAGAGGCTGTAACAATGGGCTCAAGTGCATCAGAGACCTTGAAGATGGTGTAGGCTGGGGCAAGGTTAGGTCTATTGCATTAGGCATCCCCTCAAGTCATAATTTACTCAATGGTACCTGACGAAAACAACAAGAAGAGACTAAGCCACTTCCCATTTCAGAGATACTACCGCACTGGGGGGAAATTGCTGGGATGAAGGACAGTGTCTTTTTAGACTAGAAGAAGCACTTTTTCATTTCCTGTGGGTGTAAATGACCACTGTCTCTAAAGAACGTACACTAAGGAGAGGGAAGCCCAGCTGTTGAGTGTGGTGAGCAGAGGAACATTAAACCCCAGAAGGCGTCTCCCCAGGACGCAGAATCTGCAGCTGGGATCCTTGAGGAGAGAGGTTGCACTTTCAGAGGATGGGACACCTCAACCTGACCTTGACTTATCGCCCTGAGCAAACAGTCTTTAGAGCTGGATCACCAGGTCTTCTCCACACAGGTGGACACTAGAGCCAGCAGCAGTAGGCAGATTCTAGGGGGTTCCTGCGTCTCTGGGTAAAGGACAATGGCAGAGTGTGGAGGGTTGCTCATTGCAGGCCACCAGGAGGGGGCACAGAACCCAGGTCTCAGAAGTCATTTGTAGCTGGGCTTTTGGTGGTGTCAACAGTGCTTCTTGAAAATACATATTCTTATGATGCGGGTCACTTGAGAAGTGCTGACCCCCAGGTTACCAGAATTGACTCACAGCTGACCCTCTAGCAAATTTTCAGAGACTGTAAATGCTCATCTTTCTCCCTCAGAGGCACATTGGTGGATTCAAACGATGAGAGAGACTCTCCCTTTGAGTTTGCAGTGCAGCTCCCAATGGACTCCATGCCCGTTTTCTGATTGCTACCTGTGTAGCAATCAGAAAAACTCTTAGGTCTGTTAGATGTTGCTCATAGTACTTGATCGCTGTTAAAATAAGATACCTTGATTGCTTGGACATTACCATAATACGTATACAGTAAAGGACAAATATCATGTAGCCCCATGGATATGAAATAAATACATAAATACAGAAGATTTATCTCTCAGTCGTTATCAGGGGTGTGAGGCCAGGGGAGAGAGTTTCTGCTTGGGCACCATGGTGATAGAATAATTTGGAAAATGTTAGTGAAAATGGTTGCACAACATGGAGAATATAGTCAATGTCACTGAATAGAGAAATTGTCACTGCATAGAGAAATTGATGAATTGGTGGGTGTTTTGTTATGTGCATTCTCATGACTATGTATGTGTTATAGGAGTTCTGCTGGTGTATTGTGTCCAACTCTTAGCCAAAAAGATCAGAGGTTTAAATATAGCAGCTGCTCTACAGTTTTTTCCTATAAAGATTTACAGCCTCAGACACCAAATGGAAGGTCAAAATGAGTTGGAATTGGCGTGCTGGTAAGGGGTTACATATATGTAATATATTATGTGTAATGTGTTATATATATGTAATATATATACACACACACAGAGTATATATACTCTCCACAGTGCAGAAGGTATCCCCTTACCTGCAGAGTCACTTAGGGTGACCTCAGGCCTCGGGCATAAGAACTTACTGTGGACTAACCAGCCCTGACCTGGGAACTCTTGATCTGGCTTCAAACATACTAACCATCATCAAACACTTGCTTGGTCCTTGGTGGCAGTCCTTTTGCACAGTTTATGGCATCAATCTCTGAGAAGACGGTGGTTGACCCTGACTGAGTGGTGGGAAGACAACCCTGCAGGGATTCAGAACCTTGGCTAAGGTCACAGGGGAGGAGGTGGATGGCAGGGGACTCCTGCCCCCAAGGGACACCCACACATGGCCCCAGCGTGAAAGCTCAGCACCTGGCTCTTCAGCGCCGTTGAGTCATCTTCTCTCTAGTTGCCATTAGCTGACCCCTCCCCGTTCCTCCCCGCCAGTACCACAGGGACATGTATGTGGGCGAAAGGAGAGGGAGAAGGGAGACAGGACAAATTAGGGGCTTCCTGCTCTTAGATGAGTCACCATTCTCCTCCCTCCAAGAAGCCCCACACCACTACTCAGTTAATGTTTTATTAACCAGAATTCAGCCCCATGGTCACAATTACAAGGTGGTCTAAGCATCGTAGTCTTGTCTTCTTCCTGATAGCCTGGGTGTCACTATGCCCTAAAGATTTTGGTAAACAAGGAACGAGAGGATCTTTGAGTGTCTTCCATGCCTCAGAATATGTCTTCATAATGCATTTTACTGAAGTCAGCGATTCTCTCGAGTGACCCTGGGAGGGCGGGGATGCAGAACTGCTTCCAAGATGGTAGATCTTTATGGGAATGGGCTGCTCCATCTTTCTCCCATAGAACAGTTGTTGGATTTGAACCTCTGACCTTGTAGTAAGCAGCCTAGCTTTTTAACCACTGTGCCACCAGGGCTCCTTTCCTCAAGGGAGGCTGGTAATGAATGGGGCCTCCCAGGGCAGCTGAGCAGGTTAAAGGTAGCTGCATCTGTAGTGTGTCTAGGTGAGCAAGAGCTGCTAGTGAGCAGACCCAGAGGTGCTGCAACAACCTGCAGTGCACAAAGTGGGGCCATTGCTGCTGTGAAGTTCAACCTCTGAACCAAGAAGAGCTCTGGGTCCTCAGACTTCACCTTCTTCTGTATCTGCTTCCACAATTGAAAGGGAGAAGGGGACTTTTCTTAAGTAGAAGGAGACATTTCTGGAGAGAGAAAACAGAAGGGCTAGCGGCTCACAGAAGAAAAAACTGAAGACTTAGAAACTGTCTGGGCACAGATAGTTCTATCTGGGTGGTGCTTACGTCTTGGGGATCCACAGATGGTCTAGACTCAGTTAAGAACCACAACTTGATCCAACAGGCAGTGTGGAGTCCTGGACGGTTGTTAAGCAATGATGTGGATAGACTAGAAAAGAAAAATTAAAGTTGTGCTTTATTTATTGTTGTGTACCTTGGAGTTAGAATTGTTTACATCTTTCTCCTGCAGAGCAGCTGGTGGATTCAAACTGTGTACCTTTGCATTGGTAGCACAATTCCTTTACCACTAAGCCACCAGAGCTCCCTTTATTTAGCTAATTTCATTTTTCCCCAAGGTGTAGGAATGTGGCGTGCACTGGAGGAAAAGTATTTGGAAAATGTTGCAGTCGCCCAGACACCAAAAGAAGCTAATGTTTTACCTTAAGTCAAGAGGGAAAGAAGCCCTTGTGACACAGTGGTTTAAGTGCTCAGATGCTAGCCAGAAGAGCAGTGGTTTGAATCTGCCGGCAGCTCCAAGGAAGAAAAGACCTATAATGTTCTGTCCTATAATGATTACTGTGTAGGAAACCTTACAGAACAGTTCTACTCTGCCATATAGGACTGCTGTGGGTCAGAATCAAAGAGGTGACCTATAGAAAGAACAGTTCAAAGGGAATAAGTCCTGTCATTTGCAGTTTGGTGGACAACAGGGAAGAGTTGTGCCAGCAGATGGCGCTGCTGAGCAGCAGTTAGGAATGGACCGCTTCACGGAGGTGGCATTATCTGTCCCAGTTAAGTCCACTTCATTCCAAAATGGGATGTGGATTCCAGGGCTTTGAACTGGTTCGTTCTGGTTTTAACACTTACTGAGAATTTTCCTTTCTACCTCAAATGTACTGAATCGGAATCGACAGTGTAATAAGAGATGATGTACCAGGGACCTTTGGCGACCTAATGGTAAGAAGCAGCACTGCAGTCCCAAAGTCACGCAGTTCGAATCCACCAGCTGCTCTGTGGGAGAAAGATGGACAGTCCTCCCATGTAATTACCTGCCGAGGGTCAGCTATGGATCATTTCCTTCTTGATGGCACACAGCAAGAATTGCACTGTCAATTCTGATTAAATACCTTCAGTAAATTCCCAGCAGGGAATCTAACTGGAATAAAATGGCTCCAAATCCTCGCAGATTCTCCTTCTACCACTGGGGCTCCCATTCCTTCATTGACCTTTGTCCGAATAAGCTCTTATGCTGTCTCCCTTCTCCTGGCTGTTTTTTTGCCGACTAAGTTATGTAATAAACACAGCCCATGAGGCCCAGGTCATTGCCTTAGCCTCATGACATTATGGAGGCTGCCCTCTTGTTGTTCTGTATGAGCCAGAAAAGTATCCTAAACTATAATTTAAGGTAACTCATATTGTGTTAGTCAGCAGTGGCTTGAAAGAACAAATGCGCTTCTTGCTCATGTTACATGAGAGTTACTGGGCAGCTGTGGCTTGGCTGGGCCAGGCAAGCCTGGGCTTGGCTCATTCTGGAAGCCAAGTGGGGGCAGGACTTGTCCTCTGGAGCATTGTGTTCTCGTGGCAGAGGGCAGAAGCTCAGTGGACACGGGGCCAAACCACACAAATGCATTCAGTGCCTTTATTTGAATATGGCTCGCATTCCATTGGCCAAAGGAAGTCATGTGAACAAAGGCAAAGTAAGATAGGCTGTTTTACTCAGAGCACTGTTTCTCAAGGAGATCTGGTGGTGTAGTGTGTTGCCTATTGCATTGCCAACCAAAAGCTCACTAGTTCAAATCCACCCATTGCTCCAGGAGCAGTCTTCTAAAGATCTACGGCCTCAGAAGCCTGGTAGAGTGTTGTTGTGAATCGGAACTAACTTAGTGGCAGTGAGTTTTAGTATTTCTCAGCCTTGGACACTATGGGCATTTTAGACCAGGTAAGTCTTTATGGAGAGGCCATCCTGTAATTTTAGGATACCGAGCGGATATCCAGCCTTTACACAGGAATCCTGGTTATTCCGTGTTAAAGTGTCCAGCTGCTTAGGGAAAGGTCAGCGATTCAGACTCACCCAGCAACTCTTCAGCAGGAAAGGCTCGGCCATCTGCTTCCCAGAGATTACATAGCCTAGGAAATCCTATGTGGACGTTCTCCTGGGCATTAATGGGTGGCTGTATGTGACACACAGCAGCAACTTTACATGTTAGAAGGACCTCTGGTGGCCTTGTGGGGTAAGTGTTGGGCCACAGCCTGTGCCCATAAAGATTTACAGCCCCCAAATCCCTGAGGACGTTCCACTCTGTCCTGTAGGGCTGCTGTAAGTTGGAACTGATTTGAGGGCAGTGAGTTTGAGTTTTACTAACTAGAGTCTAGTAACCAGTATTGTAACCCAGAATGTGCCAGTGGGGACCAGAACTGCCCTAACCTAGAAGCACTCATGCAAGGCTAAGAGGTATGTGACCAATTTTGTGACCAAAATTGTTGGCTGTGCCTCTTGTCTGAACATGTGCCTCTAATTTTTGGTTTGCAAACTCTGGTCAATTTTTCAGGGACTCATTTGATAAAAGGACAAGGGTTCCCAAGACTGACCAACGTGGCTGCAGTCAGAGGACTGACCTCTCTTCCTTCTCTCCTCACGCAGCTGTTTCTTTGCCTTGTCTGCTGCTTCTCAGTGTAGAGTCCTTGGACCTGAAACATCGGCCATAGCTGCTAACTTATTGTTGATTGCGGTTGAGTTGAGCATGACTCATAGAGACCCTGTGAACAAAAGGCCTGAAACCTAAACGATTCATCATTTATCAAAGCTCATAGAGTTTCCAGAGGCATGATGTTTAGGAAGTGGATGAGGTGCAGATTTGTAGACCTCACCTGAGACTTGCTGAATCAGAAACTGTGCAACTGGGTGGCCCCAGCAATATGGAATTTTAACAGGTCCTCCAGAGAGCTCTGGTGGCCTCATGGGCAAGGAGTTGTGCTGCCAACTCCAGAGCAGGAAGTTTGAATCCCCCCCAGCTGCTCTGAGGCAGAAAGACGGGCGGTCCACCTGTGATATACAGTCTCCGAAACCCCCTGCAGGGTCACCTATGAATTGGCTCCAGTTTGATGGCACATAACAACAACCACCTGGAGGAGACATTGCTCTTAACCAGGGATGTAGGAGACTCTGTGCACAGTGGTGCTCACTGGGCAGTCCTGGGGGAGAGCTTGACCTCATCTCACCACGCCTCCGTTGCACAGTGTGCTTACACGTGTCTATTCAGCGCTGATGGAAAGACTTCTCTAGCTCCTTCAGCCAACCTGTTGGGTAATTTCATCATTCATTTCTATGTGTTTATTGAGTCAACAGAGCTTGTGTACTAGCCCTTATGTAAGGCTTCTGGAGTGTCAGAAAGTAAACAGAACAATAGTCTGGTGTATAGGTAATTTGCAGCCCAGGCCGACAGACACATGTGAATAGATGACAAACATAATTTTGCTAGACTATGGCCTAGCAAAAAATAAAAAGGTAGTATGGCAGCTGAGAATATAGAACTAGTAGTAGTAAGGTGCTAACCAGTTGGTCCTCAGCTTGTGGTGACCCCTGTTAAAGAATAAAACTGCTCCATGATGTTTTCTTGGCTGTAATCTGTGGAAGCAGATTGCCAGGCATTTTTTTTTTCTGTGGAACTGCTAGGTAGGTTTAAACAACTAACCTTTAAGTTGGTAGCCAGTTGTTAACTGCTTGCTCTGGCCAGGCTTCTGATACCTTAATTAGCTCCTGTTTGTTGAGAAAAGTGCTCTGGTGATGTAGTGTGTGGTGAGTTGTACTGCTGAGCCAAAGGTCTCAGGTCTCTGGCAGTTCAAAGCCTCCAGTGGCTCTGAGGGAGAAAATGGACAGTCTCCTCCTAATAATATTTACAGCCTTGGAAACCCCGTGGAGTTCGCCATAAGCTGAAACCACCTGAATGGCAGTGAGCTGCTTTATTTTGCTTTTTATTTTAAAATTGAAGACTGATCGTGTGCCAGGTGCTACGGGAAGGCCTATGAATGTTTTCTCATCTTTTTCTACAACTGTGAAGGGAAAGATGTGCTAATCTTTCATAGAAGACGAGAGACCAAGAACCACAGAGATTAATCAGTTCTCCCAAAGTTACCTAGAAGTCAGGGCGGTTTGATGCCAATGCCCTTGACCTTGCTTGACCATGATGAGGCTTTGAAAGGGTTACCGGCTTATTCACTTCTGCTCTTGCTGACAAACCCGTTTCTCTCTTTTTGTTTTGTTTTAATTTTAGGGGATCCTAACAAGCCTTCAGGGTTCAGAAGTGTTAAGGCTCCGGTCACCAAAGTGGCTGCATCGATCGGGAATGCTCAGAAGTTGCCCATCTGTGACAAATGCGGCACTGGCATTGTGTGAGTTTCTGCACGCTTCCCCCCTTCCCTAAGTCTTCAGAGGCCCTTGAGGTTGGATAGATCATAAAAAGGCAGAAAGTGCTGAATGTTGGACATTTGGGATGTGAAGGGGAAAAAATCTTGGCAGCAAAAGGGAAGATGGGAGGTGAGGTGGGTCCTAGAGTTTCAGAAAAGAAGTCAAGCTTTCCTGTGACACTCCAGCCCAGAGCTTGTGGGCAAGTGAAACAAAAAAAGGCGGGACTGCTTTGTAAAAGGAGCAAGGGCGTCTGAGGTCTGAGGGTGCTTCAAGAATAGTCTTTCTGGACAGCAGGAATGGGAAGCCTATAGAGATGTGGGGAGCCCACTGTTCCTCCCTGAGCTAAGCCTGGACCTCAGGCCGGGGAGGGTGGTGCAGCGCCTTGGCGCCACCTGCAGGCGCCTGTAGGTAATGCCGTCTCTGCTCCCTCCCGCAGAGGCGTGTTTGTGAAGCTGCGGGATAAGCACCGCCACCCTGAGTGCTACGTGTGCACCGACTGTGGCACCAACCTGAAACAGAAGGGCCATTTCTTCGTGGAGGATCAAATCTACTGTGAAAAGCACGCCCGGGAGCGCGTCACGCCACCCGAGGGCTACGACGTGGTCACTGTGTTCCCCAAGTGACCCCGTAGGTCTCTGCTCTGCACCAGGCGCTGCGCTCTCCTGGGTTCTAGCCCCCAGTCTTTGCAGACTGGCTCACACTAGCTGTCCCGTGGTTGCTTTTACGATTAAGGGGAGCTTGTTTTGTTCTGGGCCCCTTGCCGACATCTTGATTTCTCTGCTGCAAATGGACACATCAGCTCATCCTAAGCCAGACTGGGTTTAGTATGTCTTACATCGATTTTGTTTTTACTTAATAAATTTGTAGACTGAAAGCAGTGTGATGTCTTTGCTTGGTTTTGCCACTTCTCTGAATGTGCACGCTTTTCCTCACCAAGGTGGGCGGAAGCCAGCAGACAAAAAAAAGCGACCTCCGCGCGGACATTGCCTTTATTGGCTCCCAGTCTAACGAGCCTGGTTCTAACCAAGCTCCCCTAGGGATTTGTGGGGTTGGTTGTGGTTTGGTCTCCTACATCTTGGCGAGGGGGCTACTTCCTAGTGCAACCCATTTTTTTTTCTTTCTCCTGACAGAAGGACTATCACCAAGTTCCTTATTATTCAGTTAGTTGCAGAAACTGTTTTACACTCCTTTCCTGTTTCTCCTAAAAGACCCAAGTTCATCAGAGTTGAGAAAGAGCCCGGGTGCAATACTCACCTTTAACAGATCATTGGGACACTCCCAATTTTACCCTCTGCTGACCTTTGCTAATTGATAATTAACTGAAGGATCTTCAAAAACTCTCTTGACCTCTTGGTCCACAGTCACTTTGTCTAGAAAATTGGATTTTGATATTGCCTAGGAACTTGCCCATTTGTGTAATACTTATTACATTTCCCAAGTGATCTGTAAATAAAGCAAGGACTAGCAGTGTGTTTTGTAGAAGATTACCCCAAATCCCTTGTTGTTTATTGCTGACCCTATGAATGAAATAACTGAACACTTATATAACTTTCAACGTTTCTCCACCTTCATAGAGTTTCTGGAGGCAAGCTGTTTCAGAAGTGGGTGTCACTCCTGCTTTGAAGCTTGTTTTAACTGGGGAGCTCCACCAACCACTGTCCACCATGTAGGACCAATATCACATTTGACATATCAGTGTCACAGTGTTCAGCATCATGGCAACCACGAGTTACCTCTGTACAACAAATGGACAGAACAGTGCTATACCAGTTAGAAGAATGTTTGACCAAAACCAATTAAAACCACAATTAAAATCACCTACCTTTGGCTTAGTAGCATTACTTTCTGTCCCCTAGGCCAACTGAGTTCTCTAGATGTTGTTGTTAATTGCCATCAAGTTGCAGGCGACTAGGCGACTGAGTAACCCTATGAGTGAAAGAGATGAACACTTGTATAACTTTCATTGTTTCTCCAAGTTCATAGGGTTTCCGGAGGCAAGCTATTTCGGAAGTGGATGCCGCTCTCTTAACAATTAAAAAAAAATGGGCATTTTAGAATTCCTTTCATCTGTACCTTCAGGGTATGTATAGAGCTGATACAAAGGTGATGCAAATTGTTAAATGATACACAAATGTAAGGAAGGTTTTTTTCCAATCTTTGATCACTATTTCCTCCCTCAGTTCCTGTCTTACTTCCAGTTGAACAAATTCTTTCCACAGTTGAAGTTGCCTCCCATGTGAAAAATCTATGTTGTATTCATCTTTATAGTTTCCATGTCCAGGACAGTGCTTGGCATAAGGTATAAATGTATTTTAAAAAGTTAATTGGTTTTTTTAAATGAAATAAATGAATTTTACTCTATTAAGCTTATTTTATTTCTATACTTGGAAATCCGTAACAAATTATTTCACAGTATTGCTGATTTATTATATATAGTTTTGTTTGGTGAAAGTAAGGCTAAAAACATTTGTATAGTAAACATTTTTGCAGCTTCAGTTACTATTTCTAATGGAAAACAGAGCTGAAAAAGTATGTGAACTAGGTTAGGAAGTGAATTCATTTTCTCTGTTCATTCTGGAGGCATTTAGGTGATTGGACAAATAGGACCTCAAAGCACTGTTAGTAGCCTTTGTTGGCATCGCACTAAGCATTATGGGAGAGTGTCAATTTTGAGTTGCTAAACAATTAGAAATCATGGTCATTGTTTTATAGGCTGTAAGAAGTGTGTGGAGGAAAGGCATATTTGTAGAAACAAACATACTTTAAAAGAAGCAGGACACACACACCAAAAAATAAAGGAAGCAGCACATACAAACAAGCATGCTGTAGATTGTAGTCATAATAGACTTGAAAGAAGTGATGATGTAAATTGGTCCTTAAAGATAGGAAAGGATTTCACGTGACATGATGAGATATTTGGCCTGGACAAGTGAGTTGGCAGTGATAGAATGGATGGGACAAACGTCTCAAAATCGGATAATGTGAGTATAGCGAGTCATCTGAGAGAACACAGGGAATGTGGAGACAAGAGTAGGAAGGGCCGCTTCAGTAAGCTACGTTGTCATGACTTTATGAACAAGCCACACCATTTTCTTATCAGCTTTGCTTTGTGTCAGGAAAACACAGTATGAGGTGAACCTCCATGTATGGAAAATTTACCTTTCTCCACCAACCAGACGTCACCACAGAAGAAGAGATGAGACAAGGAAAAAGAACAGAGTTAATCCCTACTGAAACCATGGTCTTCTCAATTGCTTGCTATTCATCTCAATGCCTTTGTGTTGTGGCACTGGAGAAGAGTATTGAACATATCATGGGCTACCAAGAGAATAAACAGGTCTTTTCTGGAGAGGGAACCTTGCTGAAACTAAGGAAATAAGGTGTTTGCTGTGCAAGGTCAAGGACTGTAATCTTCAATATGGTTTGAAGCTCAACATCAAGAAAACAAAGATTTTCACCACTGGGTCAATTGGTAGCTTCATGATAAATGGAGAAAAGATTGAGATTGTTAACACCTTCAGCTTGCTTGGTTCCAGGAACAATCAACACTCTTGGCTTCAGCAGGCAGGAAGTCAAAATACAAATTGCATTGGGAAAGTCTCTTTTCAAGGACCTCTCTAGAGTACTGAAGAGTAAACAATGCCAGTCTGGAGACTAAGGTGTACCTGATACAGGCCATTGTCTTTACAATTACTTGCTGTGCATCAGAGAGCTGGACAATGACTAAAGATGAAAGAAGAAGAAATAATGCCTTTGAGATGTGGTGCTGGAAAGAGTGTTGAACACACTGTGGACTGCCAGGAAAACAAACAGTCCTAAAGAGGGTGAAACCAAGCTGTGCTCTGGAGGCATAGATTTTGAAGCTCCATCTCACATGTGGTCAGAGGGAGGAGAAATCATTCTTAGAAGGGGGAAGGGACAGCACAGGAGAGGAAGAACCAGGATAAAATGGATTAACTCAGTGACTGGAGAAATGGGATTAGGTCTGTCGGAGATGAGATTGGCTCAGGACAGGGTAGACAGAGTTCAGACCTATTGTACATGGGTCACTCTGAGCTGCAGGTGACTTGATGGCACATAACAACAAAATTTATTACAAATGCTATAATTATATCAATAAATTTTCATATTGTTATTTATTAATTGTTCTATACTTTCCTTCCTGATTAGAAATTACCATGAGCTCCTATTTATACTAGGATATAGTCTGTGTTTCCTAACATATTTTGCTAATTTATTTGTTAATCCTTTTTTTTTATTGGGAAAAACATATTGGGGGTACAAGGAGGTGAGGGTTGAGGTCAGAAGGGTGAGGATGGGCCAGGATGCAGTTGCAGAGCTGCACAGTTTGGTCGGTGGGGGGAGCAGGTGAAGGAAATGATGAGGGTCCAGTGTGGACCAGATGCTACAGAGGAATGACAAGCATTTTCCAATAGTAATTAAACC